CTTTTCTATAGTCAGCTTGCAAACCAATCACATTAACTATTTTCCATTACTAAAAGTCTATACCCAAATGGGTCATGAATCATAATCAACTTATTCCTAGTTAAGAACACTTTTGAAAAAGCCATTTCAGTCATTCCACAAGCATCAACAACCATAAAAAAGAAAAGTTTTCTCCAATTCTCATTTTGTTCAACCTCAATAGACCTAAATCTATTTTTCAATAAAAACTAGCACATTTATCAACTTCAAAGACTCAATAATTAAGTATTGAGCAATTGATGACAAAACCTTACTAAGAAATCAACAAATGAACACAAAAAAGAGAGATAGGTGGTGGTTTCGAGTTCACTTTCTTCTTTTGTACCATTATTTGTTAGGAAAGGTTCTTCAAGGATGATTTGGTTACAAGCTTCTAAACCTCCAAAAATTGTTTCGAATCAATTGGGTTTTCTAAGCTAGTGGATCAAACAATCGACATCAAATATGTCTCCAATGACCCAAGCTCTAATGACTCATCTATTGTTGAGTCATGCTCTACCATATTAAGGGTCTCTGCCACCTTCGATGAACCATCCAAATGAGACATAATTTGCTTACAAAATTTTTTTGCATCTTGGACGAAAATTTATCAAACCGAGCATCCATTTCTTATCTCAATTGTGCAATAGTGTTGTCCAGTTTTTTCCTTAATTTTTTAATATTCTTTCGCAACAAAATAACATCCATTTCTAATTGGATCATCTTATCATTAGTCATGCCATAATCGTAAGCTATGCTAGAATCTTAGACTCTAATACCAAATGATATGAGCTGATTGAAAATAAAAGATATTTAACTGTTACAAAGTATCTGCATAGCTTTAAAGAGGAATAAAAAAGAAAAAAAAGATAACAGATATAAAGAAATAAAAAATTTAATAATTATATCGATCATTAGAATCATTCTTTTACGGTCAGTACTCATACAAAAAATATTATCAAACAAATAATGCCTCAGTAGAGTTGTAATTAATCCCTACTTTTAAAAGCAACTTACAACTAATCCTTATATTAAGGATTTGACTAACTATTAAAACTACTTGCTTTTTAGATTAACATAATACAAGCTATCTACTAACTTATATGCCATTTGACCTGTGACAATCCCATTCTAGCGTTGCCCTCATCCACGACCTATATCTATTGCTACTATTTTCCCTTTTTTCCTTTATAATTTTTATTAGTATGTCCTGATTTAACAATCATAACAAAAATCAAATAAACATTCATAACTTATTTCAACCCTTTTTATTTCTTCCTAATTTTGATATCCAAAAGCCTTTTATCAAAGGTTTTTCTGTATCAATCTCTATAATAAAAACATAAAAAAACCTTTATCTACCTCATTGCCATGACAAGTCTTTTACATTTACCTTTATGCTTAGCCCTCTTCAAATTTTGATTGCATTCTGAAAGATTTGTAATTCTAGCAAAAGAGTACATATCTAAACCTACAACTTCACTTTCTTGTAATTAACATCTTGAATTACTTATTCTCTTCCCCATTTTTGCAAACTTAATGTAAATCCCATTATAGACTAAGGCCCTACCTTCGATGCCTCATCCATTTCTCTAACTTCAAAAAAAAGAAATTCTATAAAGATTTTGGCACACCTCCTTAATGGTAATTACATCTTTTGCTGGCCATGTATTCCTTAATACATTCAAAGGACCTTTTTTACTCACTGGTTATCCACAACCAATTTTCTTATTAGAGTGCATTAAGTATCACGAATCACCTTATATTTTGAAAGATTTAGCTTAATTTCAATCTCACCTTCCATTAAATCCTGAGCATAATTTTCTTATAAAATTATTAATCGCTTATGAAAGGAAGAAAATGAAAAGCAAATATACGTAAATCCCTTCTATTCCCCTTTTAAGACATAGTCTAAATCTTAATTTTTAAAGAAAAATCAAACTCACAAAACCTAAGACTCACAAGAAAAGAAATCAAGAAAACAGAAACTAGTAGCTTAGTGAAACGAAAAATGGCATTATTAAACCATAGACCTAAAGAGTGATCCCTTAACCAAGAAAGACTTGAAACAAATAAACCTAAGATATAATTTCTTTTATTAGAAGGAATCTCATGAAAAGAAAGATGCTTTCGATATAAAAGAGAAAAAAAATGTAATGTTACCAATTCAAAAATTCAACCATTTTTATAGTTAGAAAAATGGAAAATTATCATTATGTACATATAATTGGTTCATTTCGCAAATTCTTCTATATTATAATTTATTTTGATATGTAATTTTTTAAAGTCAAATAGCCAGTGGTGATAATGATTCAGATCGGATCGAATTAAGTTTGATTTTTTCGAATAATGCATAATATTATGAATTTATAAAATTCGATTCAAATCCAAATCGACCTTCTCTTGAAACCAATTCGATCTAAGGTGATTTCTACAAATTCGGTTCAGTTTATGAATTTTTAAAATTTAAATTTAAATTTTTTATTTTTATATATTATTTTAATAAGATTTTTAATATATTTAAATAAATTTATATATAAAATAATTATTTTTATTTTATAAAAATTTAAAAAATATATAAAACTAATAAAAATATATAATTAAGTTTTGGTTTAAAGACATTGGGTTAAAGTTTGTATGTAATGAAAATTTTAGAATATTTGTCATTTATGAAATTAATAAATAATTAAAAATTATTAAAATTATTTTATATTAAAAATATTTTTAATAAATAATTAAAAATTAACAAAAATGGTAGTAATATATCAAATACTTGTTTTTTAAGAATTGATACTAATATACTTACATAAATTGAATCTTTACAAAGCAATATTCAATTATTTATTATTTTTATAATTTATATATCAAAATAATAATTATTTCTTATAAAGATAATTACATTTATCACATAAAAATAAAAAATGTTTATTCTAATATCATTTATGTAAATATGTATTTTAGTTAACTCATATTAATTGCAAAGATATTTATTTTTATTTATTAAAATCTTATTTTATTATAGAATATTATTTATTTATGTATTTCTTCAAAATTTTAGTGATTTATTTATTAATTAATTTTTATTATATAATTATAAAATTGATTTATTGTATTAAATTAACAAAATTATTAAAAAATTAAAATAAAAATTAAAATGGAAAAAATAAAAAAAAGAATGAAAAAAAAGGAAAAAAGTCAAGTACATTGTCATCCCTAATCTAAAAAGAAAAAAAAAGGAAATAGGGATTTATTTGGAAAGATATAAGTTTTTCACTACACGTTTAGGCTTCAATCAAATTTTAGAGGTGCAGCACAGTGGAGGCTTATTTCCACCTAGCCCACATGAAACTCAAATGGACGCTAAACGTGTCTTACCAAATACAATTAGTTATAGATGAACAAATAGTTATAGATGCCTTAAAAACTAATAAAAAATAATGGGACAAAGTTTAAATTTATCACTCTTCTTAGGAGGGTGATAGATCAAATTTACCATTAATCTTTAAATTGGTGTGATTTTACCTATATATTTTTAATTTGTTTCAAAAATGGTTGTAAGCATAGATGTATACAAAATTAAGCTTCTCATCAAAGCTTGCAGGTCTCTTTTCACTTAACTCGGATCTTGAAGATGATGTTTTAAACTCAAGCTTAACCAAAAAATATTTTATATTAATAAAAATATATTTCAATTAATTTAAATTTTTAAAAATATAATATTTTAATAATAATCATAACCTTAAATGTTAACATTGAATTCAAGCTTGAGTTTTAAAAATATCAAACATGTTTGATTAGATTAAGGGTATAATCGAGTTGATATAATATCGATATTTGGTTCGAACTCGATCAAATTTTATTTTCTTAGTTTGAGTTCAATTCGTGATCGAAATCGAGTTACTCGAGCTCACTTGATTAAACTCAATTAATATATAAAATTAAACTCGATTTATATACTCGACAAGAGTTTGATTATTTGTGTTCGAACTCAAATTAAAATTCAAGATGTTTTATTAATTAAAATAATAAAAATATATTTAAATATAAAAACTCGATTAGGTTCACGAGCTATTCGAGTCAAGTATAAGAATACTCGAACTCAATTCGATCGATGAGTCGAGCTACTCGAGTTTGAGCTTGACTCGATAATAATCGAATCGAATTTGAATTTTATTCGAATCGAACTCGAGTAATTTACGAATACTAATGTATTATTTACACCAATGATTGGACTTAATCTTATTTATGGATATTTTTAATTAAAAATTGATGGTAAAAAATTTAATGAGTAAAATAAAAATAATATTTAATGCAATATTTTAATTGTTGACAAGGTTGAACCAAATTAAATAGTACAATAATAAATTTATATATGATGAGCGATAAATTTGATCCAGTATCCTAAATACAATACTCAATTTAGATCTGTCCAAAAATAATGCATAAGAGCCAAAGATTTTTTTTGTCTTAATGTTCAAACTAAGGTTACGATAATTTGAAGAAGCAAGGTAATATAAAATAGATTTAACAATTCATATATTTATATTATGTAAAATAATGATAATTTATATCTATACAAAAAAAACAAAATACATTTTTTTTATTTTTGTTAAACTCTTATAATTTCTTTGTTTTGTGTTTTTTCAACTTTCTTTCCTTTTATTCTTCTGGTAAGAGTAAAAATGATATTATATTTTTAAAATTAAAATAAAAATTCTCATCCAAATCCAAATAGGATTATAATTAGTACGCCTTGTTTATAAAAATTAAAGAAATATTTTACAAAATATTCTAATGTTTGAATATATTTAAATCAAATTAAAAAGTAGAAAAAAAAAAACATATTAGCAAGTAGTATATTCCTATTATTTGATGGTCAAGATGCATATTAACATATTCCAACTGCAAAAATAAATAAATAAATAACTGATGGAAAGTAATGGAAAGTAATGGAAAGTAATGGAAAGGAACTCAACCTCCAAAATGCTATGACTTTATTGTTTTGGTAAGAGGCACAAAAATTATTATTCTTCCACAGTGTTTGATAGGCAGAATCCAAAAGAAAATTGAAGAAAAATAAAGTTAAAACAGAATTATTTATAAGAACTAGGTTAAAGCTATTGTGTCCAAAATTTTGGCTCTTTGACCATTGTTTATAATTCAAAATCAAAAGCCAACAGAAAAAGAAAGAAAATGTTGTTAAACTGCTGGCTATGGTGTGCCTTCTGCATGATGTAGAGAAGGGATGAAACTATATTGCACCTGAATTCTCCCCTTACACAAGTACATGATGCTTCAAACAAGTAGAGTTGAATATCCGCTCTATGCATGATTGTAATGATGCAACTTGTATAATAGCACTTTGCCAGCAGCATTTCCAACAGCCATGAAACCACCACCGGGACTGAAATCCAAACAGCAGGGATAATGTAAGTTCTTATTCAATGGAGGCCAATTAGAGTAGACGGTAAATGATGGGACATGTATCAGCTTTAAACTGTTTTTCTTCATTGTAGAACAGATGGCCAGTATTTGAGCATCACTATTAAACTTCATAAAATCTACTTTGGTCGTTAGATTCTCGATAGTCTTGATTGGTTTTCTTTTACCTCCCAAAAATTCATCTCTGTTGTAAATGTTCACTATCCCGCTGTCTGAACCAGCTGCAAACATTCTTCCATTTGGTGATGTGCAAAGAGCTGTACCATTAATGCAGCCATCATCAACAGCCTTATGGAAGCAAGTTCTTGTTCTCAAGTCCCAGTGGTAGACCTGTCCATCCCCACCAGAGCTCAATAATTGCTTCCCATCACCAGCAAAAGCTAGAGAACGGACAGTTCCATTCATCTTAAGTGTTCCAATCAGTTCCTTTGTTTTGGATGAAACCAATAAGATATAACCTTCATTTCCCAAAAATGCAATCGTAGTAGAATCTGGGGAAACCTCAAAAACTTCCAAGCTTTTTTCCTCCCTACCAACCAATGGCCCTATTTTATCAACTTTTGCTTTCACTAAATCAAAACAGTACAAGAAGTTCCTCCTCCCTGCTATAATGACCTGAGAACCATCAGGTGTGAAAGATGCCTTTCGAACAGGACAATCTTCAAGAAAGACACTTTGTGTTTTCCTATTCCGCTTACCATCAATCTGGAAAAAACTGATCCTCCGATCCAATCCAGCAGCAAGTAGTAACTGAGCATTCCTATGGAAATGAACTGAATTTATCGGACCATTGGAAGGTTCCTCAGCATTGCATCCACAAGTCTTGAAAACTCAAGAAGCCCTGGCAACAATTTAGCCCTACTCTTCACCACAATATCTTCACTTGTTCTAAGAATATCATCATCAACTTCAACATTTCTATAACCACAAGCTGCCACTACACTCTTTTCTTCATCAGATGATTCATCATCATAAGTACTGTCCTTCCTTAATCCTGAATCTAGCTCTGCCCATTCCGTCCCTGGGTTCAGCTTAGCATGCTGAGCCCGCAATCTAGAAATATACTCAGAACCAGAAATCACACTCTCATCTTCTTCCTTCCTCAACTTCCTCAACCTATTAACCTTAGCTATGTTTATTGCGGTTCTTTCCTCCTCCTCATCCACCCAAACAGCTTTCCTTTCCTTACTCTTCTCTTCATAATCACTTTGCTCAGACAATTCCACATTATTCGTGGAACTGTCGAAAAAGAATAAAGCAGAACCATCTTCAGCAACATCTTGAGCATTTTCCTCACCTTCTTTACCAAATTTAACAGGGGAATATATGGACCCAAAAAGAAAGCTTTCAAGCTTTCTCATTTCTTTCTCTTGCTCAATCTCAATCTGTTTTTCCTTTTCTTTCTTTCTCTTTTTCAACCTAGAGATTTCAGAATCAGGTTCCAGCCCATTCTCAATATCTTTGTTATCTTCATGAATTGAAGGTTCATCATCATCCCTTTTAGCCTTCACTCTGTTTCTAGAGACTGGATTTTGAGATATCAAACTCATTTTTTTCTCTTTTGAAGGTTCTGAAAAATCAAACAATGAATGAGAAAAGGTTAGCAAAGCTATCCCTGAACACTATAATTTTATTTTAATTATTATGAAATTCGTTAGGATGGCTGTTTCTTCTTTGCAGCTAGGAAAACATCCATAAAAGCAAATTAAACCACCTTGACAAAAGAGATATCAGTGAAGAAAGGGCAACAGAAGGAAAAAAAATGGGAAAGGAGTAAGGCGTACTTGGGTGTTTTCATCCAGAAAGAACACTTAGAAGATCTTGATAGGAAATATGAAGTTGCACAAGAGGATAAAAAAGTAAAATTATAACATCCAAAGGCATTGAAACTTTGCAGCAAAAATTCACACAGAAGAACAAGAAAGAAAAAGCTTCACTACACTATCTCACAAATTTTATACCAACAGATGAAACACAAATATTCCTAAAGGGTATTTGAGTATTTCTTTAAACCAAACCATGTTCATTGTTTCTTAGAACGAATGTGAATCATGCTAATACCTTCCACATTACAGATCCATATTTTTAACATTTTCTATTATCCATAGATGCAAAGAAGAAACAGCCATTCTAATTAATTTCATTTCAATGTGGAAAACCATTTTCCGAAGACTTCTTATAATACATAACTTAGGGAATAAAAGGTAGAAAATAATGGGAAAAAGAAAATACCTAAGGTGTGTTAGTCAATAGAGTCAGCAACAGAACGCCTCTCAGACTCAGGTACAGCTATTGCTTCTTCAAATTTTAATTTCACATTCTTTTAACTTCTTGGTAGCATCAGGATAATTGGGACAAATCTTTTTTACCTGAGTCCAAAGGGTCAAAAACATTTTTCAGACATCACATGTTAATATATAGCAATTATACGAATTTCCCTGAAGAGAAAAAATGATACCAACGATAGATGCAAAACAAGCATGTGCAATAAGGAAAGTTACTTGCAAGAACCCTCTTCTAGGTCCTTAAAATATTCACTTTTAAAATAGATCAGACAATAAGCGGTATGTCTTCTCCAGGCATAAACTTCACTAGATCAATTCTAGACAGCATGATGTAGGGAAAATGGATCCCAGTGTGTTAATTGCGAAGGAACAAAACATTTCACAATGATCTCAGGTAAAAACAAAAAGAAAATACAGAGCCCTAAACCTTTTCTCACTCCAAAGCAAATGCATGCGTATGTGAAGATATATGCTGCTCATGCCTCACAGAATGGAGAATATCATACTGACTCCAATTAAGTTATCTAAAATGTCAAATTTAGCCTGCAGGCACATTCCACCGTCCCATTAGATATCCAATACTAGAAGAAATAACAACTTGTTAAGCTCTGTCATTAAACATTCCATAATAATAATCCCCAGAAAGTAAAAAAAAAAATTAACAAAAATTTTCAAATAAAATGAAAAGTATTTTACAAGGGGAAGGGGAACTCATAGATAAACACATAAGCATGTTCAAAAATATTTTCTAGAGAAATATATTTCATACAATGACAGCCTACAGGAAACAAACATGTTTCGTAATATTAAAACAAAATACCTGTTCAAAATCATTTAGTGGTTCCTTAAACTTCCCACCACGGCAAGATAAGCAGGGTCTCGTCTGTAATAAACCTGTCTGTTAAAAAATGCATTACAACGAGAACAAAAATAGATACTGAATAAGAGAATGAATTGTTTCAGTTGATAAAGCATGCCCTTGAATGTTGGGTTTGCAGCTGCTAGGAACTGAGGAAGGCAGGAAGCGGTGCGCCGCCGGGAGCTAGCTTGGGAGAAAGAGAATCGTTTTGAGTAGTAGGGTTTGGGCATAATTACCTTCTTTTAAATTAATCGATCAAAATTAAAATAATCTTTTAAGTACATATATTAAAAAAATTAATTCTAATAAAATTTATAGATTATTTAACAAAAGTATTTTATATGTGATTTAAAATAAATTATATAATTTTTTATTTATATTAAATTGTAAAATAAATATCTTAATTTTTATTTTGAACAAATATTGTATTATTACATGGTATAGATTATTTTATAATAATATCTCATAAATAAATATATGTTATGTTCATGTGTTCTTAGTATTAGAATTTATTTTTATTTTTTAAATAAAAATTTTAAGAGCGAAAAACAAATAATGGAGGAGAAATGGGTTTTTGAAAATATTTTAAAGATTTAGAATTATAAATCAAAAGCTAAAATTTGTGTGATGCATGAATTAATTTTATTTATTTAAATGTGTGTATATATTTAATAATATGTAATTTATTTTCGACTTGTTTAAGGGTCAAGCTATTCATTTAAGTGTTGAGAGGGCTTGAAAAAAAATTAAAATTCATTAAATAAATTTGGATATAATTTTTAAATTCATTTAAAATTTTGAGTTGAATTTTGAATAAAAAATTTAAAGTTTAAATTTGATCTGACTTGAATTTATATATATAAATTTTTTATTTTTATATATATGTGAATTATATTAAATTAATTCACATATATATAAAAATTATATATATTATTAAACTTAATTTTTATTTTGAATTTTTACATCTATAATTTTTATTTTTAATTTATATATATGTAAATTAAATATTAATTTAATTATAGTTTTTTAAAAAAATTTATTATATAAATTAAGTTTAATGGATATGTTTAAGATTTTATTTTTTAAATTAAGTCAGGTCTAGATAAACATATAAACTATTAATACCAAACATAAGTCCAACCTGAACCTAACTTTGCCTATGAACACCTCTAATAAATCTTGAGTTAAGTATATATATGTATATTACATATTATAATTAGGTTACAATATATTTTGAGGTGATTTGTCAAAATTAAGATAATAATTATAATATTGTTATGCAAAATATGAAACATTAATAATAAGTGATCAATAAAATATGCTCATATTTCACAAATTTGCTCATCATATCTCTCCAATAATATAGATAAACACATGACTAAGAATCATTCAAGACCTTATTAAGCTTGTAATGTAAGGTTAGAGTTAAAGTATGATAAAAGTCATTTAGACTCACATAACCTAATAATGCATTACTTATCTATGATCATCTATAATTGAGCTTTCAAGATAAGAAAGGTAAGCTTGATCAAAGAATCACCCCAAAACTTTGATTTTTACGATTTTTCTTTCTTTTCTTATTTTTTTTGCTTTCTCACCACTTTTTTTTTCACAAATTTTTTTTCAAGCTTGACTTTTTCTTTCTTTTTATTTTTTTTTAATTTTTTAATTTTCTCTTTTTTTTTTAAGCTCCACCATTATTTCTTAATAATGCATATCTCATAAAATGGTATATGAATGTCTTAATGCATATAGGATAAATGACCAATAAGATATGAAATATCAAAACAAAGGCTTGAGCTTATAATGTGATTTCAAAACATAGAAAATGATATCATAAGGCTTAAATGGGGTGACTATGAAAATATTATATAAAAAATGGCTTGAAAAGCTCAAACAATTTAGAGATGGCCTATATCAAATTTTAATCATGTGCCATCTAGGATTTCGTCTCGAGAGATGATCAAAATAAATTCTAGAATCATGAAATACAACTTCAAAGACCAATACAAAAAAAATCCTATACTCACATAATCATGACTAGGTAAAAAATGCCTTTCAATATTCAAAGCTTCACTCATAAATGAATACCATATTCAAGAATTCTCTAAATCTAAGTATCACATCATATTTCACATACATTCAATCTTTTTCTAAAACTATATTTATTTTCAATCTCTACCTATCATTGGCTTCATGAAAAACTGTTAGCCTTGAATTGATCTTTATTTTGAAATGACAAAACATTAAGTTAAATAAGCTTCACTAAGATTTTGAAAAAGATTTATTTAGTACATGTTCTTAAATTTTATATTTTGGTACTAAATAAATAATATGTTTTTCAAAGTATAAACAAACCTCCATTGTTTTCATATTTCTCAAACCAAATCTATCTTTAAAGATTATTTATTTGAGCTTAAATGAAAGTCCAATTGTCATTTTTAAAGTAAACTTATTCATTTTGGACTTAAGACAATTTTAATAATATTGGTTTTGAGAAATAGATTAACTTAAAAAAGTTATTTTACAAGAACAAAGTTTTCCAACATTGAATTTGCTTTATTTTTTTGTATTAATTCACAAAGCTTTAATATTTGAATTTTATATGGTTGGAAATATCTTTAAGTCTACTTTCTAATTTATCAAACAAAATCTAAATCTAAAGTTTCTAAGAAAAGATTTTGAATTTTTACTAGACACCATGTAGTTGTTTAAAAACTGCATAAGGGGTGGTTTTGAAAATTTACTATAATTTGTACACAATGGATTAGGTGATGATTTTTTATGGATAGAAAACTATTTAAGTCTAGTTTCTAAATCTTTAAACGGTTTGTGATTTGGATTTGTATAACTCAAGATATGATCAAATTAGTGAGTAGAGTGCAAAATAAGATACAATAGAGCAACTTGACTGGATTGATCCTTTGGGTTACAGGATCGATCCCCTAGCTGACCTAATCGATCAGATACCAAAATTAATTGATCCCCTCTACTATAACAGTTAAAAATTGAGTGAAATTCAAGAACCAATCAATCTCCTATCAATACTAATTGATCTCTTCATCCTAAACAAACTTTAACGGCTAGTTTCAAAGGAAGAAAACATAGTTTTTCATTTCCCAAGCATTCCCAATGGTTATTTCCTCAATTTCTCTATAAATTGGGTATTCCAACACACCAAAAAGATTGATGAAGCAAGAGAACAAGTGCTAATAAATTATATTTTTATTTTCTCTTAAAATCAAGAGTCTTTAGAGCTTAAATTCAATATTCTTTGTATTTCTTGTATCCAAAATATTGTTATGTTTTCATTCATCATTTTTTTTATGCTTCATTAGGCAAACACTCAACCTTGAGAGGTATTTTAGTTTACAAAAATTATTTGGATTATCTTGTAAGCAAGATGTGAGGTATCTTTTTCATATTATAAGGGTAAAAGTTGCTATCTAAGCCTTAAGAAAAATATAGAGATTTAGTACAAGATATGTTTGTATCTTGTAAGAATTTTTTTTTCAATTAGTGGATTGAAGCCTTAGTGTGAACAACTAAAAGAGGATGTAGGTGCCTTATAGAGAATAATCGAACCTCTATAAATCATTGTATTTGATTTCTTTATCCCTATCTCTTTACAATTTATTATTGTTTATATTTGATTTTAGGTTCATTAATTATTATTGTTTGCATTATATTTTCATCAAAAGTGTTTATTGTTTTAATTTTCATTCAATTATATTGAAATCATTTGTTTGGGAAAAATTTAGAAAAATCTAATTCACCTTCCTTTTTGGATCACCATCTCACCTAAAAGGCTAATAATTGTATCAGAGCTTTGATATCTTTTTGTAGGTTTAACCATATTGAGAAAAGATCTTATGGCTTAATTTTGGTTTCAAGATGGTGAGAAAGTCCTCAAAGCTCCTATGGTTGATAAATTTGAATTTTATGAATAGATAAGGATGATGAAAATGTTCATAATGGCCCAAGATTTTAGAGCTTGAAATGTGATTGAAAAAGAGCTTGAAATTCTTTCAAATGATGCAAACTATGTGAGGTAAGTGATGGATGATGCCAAGGCCAAATGCTTACTATATGAAGCTCTTGACTCCCATAAATTCAACTTGATATCAAAGTGTCCAACCTCAAATGAGATATGAGAAAAATTGGATGAAATACATGAAAGATAATAATCCAACTAAATTGCATCATGTCTCATAGCTCTTGAAGATCCAGAGGTAACCTCTAATTCTATTGATTCAAATTCATATGCTTTTAATAAATTACAATATGCTTATAATGAACTTATATCTTGAATATGAATCAATGAAGAGGAAATATAAGAAAATGATTTCAAAGTTGAATGTAGATAATGAGTTTTTAATGAATGCAAAAAATATTTTGGAAAAAAAAAATAAAAAATTGAAAATAGATTTTGAAGCCTCTCAAAATAGGTATGAAATTTTAGAAAATTTTAATTTTAATTTGAAAAATAAATTTGATGTTTTGATGAATGAAAAATAAGAGTTTTTAGATAGGAGATTAAGTGCTAAAATAATTAAATGTAATTTTTATAATTTTCATGGTTATACCATACATACTTGTCCTATTAAAAGAAAAGTTTCATTTAGATTCAGGCAAGTATGGGTTCCTAAAGGAGTAAGAGACTTGCACACTAACTTTCAAGAGCCCAAAGCAATTTGGGTACCAAAAATCAAATGAGATTATCTCTTATAGGTATGCTAGAGCAAGGAGCCACAATGTGAGATTGGAGATTGAATACTCTAGACACACAATGGAGATGGATAACCTCTAAATTTTTATTTGAAGAGAATTTGAATTTGGGTTACCTATTCTTGATGAAATTTGAATGCTTGATTGATTATGCAAAATTTGGTTGACATTGATTACAAGACATATGTTGCATAATCTTGAAAAAATGTGAGCTTGAGTTAAGTATGCATTTATTTATTTATTTTGAATGTATGATTTTAATATATTCCTCATGCTTATTGATATTATGTTTAATGCTTAAGATATATTTTGTATATGTCTATATTACTATGTTAATTAAAATTACTCAATTTATTCTTAATGCTTGGATAATGTGAAATATTTTTTAAAAAACTTAATTGTTAAATTCTAAATTGTTCTAACTCTTGATTTGTGAATTGATGAGCATCTTGTGCTTAAGTGATATATATATATATATATTGATTCTTTGTTCATCTATGTTTTGAGTT